TGATGTAACAAAGTATTTTATGATTGGCATATGAAATGAACGTTTTGCACTAAAAGATAGTCAAGTGAATAATACGTTCATACCAGATCGTATTTCAAGAAATTTTCTGATAGAAAATTCTTCTAAAATATAAAAATGAATTATGTATGATTATATAATGGTATATATGTATACAAGAAAAAAAGAACAGTAATAGAAAAGTCATATTTCATTGGTGATAGTGGGATGAGAGATTTTCACCGTCGTTGTTTAATCTATTTAAATATTCATTAACAATAAAAGTAATTCAATGTACTTTTCTTTTCATAAAACGAACAAATATCAATAGAAATCTGTTTTTCTTTTCTTCACTTGTTCGAAATGTTCTATGATTTTTTCATATGATTTTCAATAACTAACGATTATATCATAAACATATTTGAGTAAATCAATAGGATGTGATATTTATAATGGAACAATACTGTGTGCATATTGAACACATGTTCTTGTCTTCATTTATTAATAATTGTACTTTATGTGAAGAATAGTCAAGTGTGATTATGAGTATCTGAAATATTGTTTAAAAATCTCCAGATACAAGACTATTTAATCTTTATTTAAATTATATGATCTACAAAATAGGTGTTAAATAATTCTGTTGTTGTTCGACATCTTTTTTTTTAATATTCTCTTGTCTGATAATGATTATTCAATTGGCTCAAGATCAGAATTTCATATATACTAAAGTAAAAGAAAGTATCTCTGAAACAGACACATATTTACATGATCATTTTTCTATAAGAATTCATTCATTAGACACATTTCTTCGAAGACAAATAAGATTTTTAGTTATTATTTTTTGAAAAATATTACTCTTGGATAGAGTAAAGAATATATTTAATAAAATTTGAGGCTGGATGTGGAATGAATCAAGGTTAGGAATATTTCATTGAAATATTATTTTAATTGCATTATAATTAACTTGTCTTCTTGCTATTGTCATTTTTGATTTATTTAAAGACTCAACAAATAGTTGATAAATATTTTTTTATAATAATATTAATATTAACACATGTTGTTCTACCTAAATATTGAATAAATCCTAGTGAAATAGTTTATTAGATAAGTTCAGCAACGGGAACAAGTTTAGAAAGGATGTCATTTGGAATAATAGGTGTGGGTGGATGTTTGTATTCTTCTCATTCATTACCCACACCAACACTTACAACCACACCCACAACTACTCCCTAGACATGCTGAGGTTGGAATGGAAATGCTAAAATAATCTCAACAAGTTTTATTATTATAGTTTCATCAAGTGTTGTTTGATGAATACCAATAAAGAAGCCACAGTGATGAATCACTTCAGCACCAGGATAATCTTCTGGATGTTCGTGTTCACAAAATGTTGCAATGCACGGTTGACGAATAAAATTACCACTTATGATAGGACGATTTTCAATCCCATTTTCTTCCAAATACTTTAAGAATTCGAGACGTTGATATGAATATGGTCGATGAAGTAGTGCTCCGATACCAAACCATGCTGGATCAACGCCTGATGAAGCTTCTACTAAGGACATTAAACGAAGAAATTGTTCATTACGTGATATAATTTCGCGAATATGTATTAGATTATTTCGTCGGCATGTATTAAATTGAGAGAGTTTATCTATTTGAACACTTAACATTGCGCCTTGCACTTCCAATGGTCGAAGATTATAACCAATATTCACAAATAAAAACCGAGAATCAACATCAGGATACGATTTTTCAACTATTTCACGATTTGTAAAATGCCGTGTCCAACCATGAGCACGTAAACAACGCAAAAGATTGTAATCTTCTTCTGTTTTACATGTTATCATTCCTCCTTCACCACTTGTTATATGATGTGAAAAATAAAATGAAAAAGTGCCAAAATCACCAAATGTACCTAACATCTTGCATTCATTTTCTGTACCTGTTTGACAGAAACTTCCTAATGACTCACAAGTATCTTCTATTAGCATTAATTTATGACGTGTAACAAAGTTCATCATTTGTCGCATATCGATAGAATTGCCAAGTACGTGCACTGCCATGACTGCTTTAACAAGTGGCGTTAGTTTACGTTCAAGCTGGGCAAGAGTAACATTTAAAGTACGCGGATCAACATCAACAAAAACTGGACAAAGACCATTTTGAAGCAATGGGAAAACACTTGTAGACCAACAAACTGCTGGAACAAGTACCTGATCACCAGGATTACAATGAATTGGACGTAATTTATTTGTTATAGCCGAAACAGCAAGTAAATTTGCAGAACTACCGGAATTAACCATTACGGCATATGGAATACCAACAGTCTCAGCAAATTTTTTCTCAGCTTTTTCTACTTGTGAACCTAGTGTTAAACGACCGGTAAGTAATACTTCAGTCATTGCAAGAATTTCATCTTCTCCAAAAGGATTCATAGCGAGTGGAAATAAAGGACGTTGGTTGTTTTCTTCTTCTGCAGCACGGCGAGCATTCCATTCAGTGATAATAGCTGATTGCCAGGGTGCAATAGAATTATTTGGTGTAGACGAATTAGAAGAAGGAAAAGCGGTGATTGACATCTGATTTTCCATTTGGATTCGATCGTTGAATATATATTCTTCTATTTATAAGAGCAAATATAAATTATAAATGAAAGAAAATCTGGAGGGTGTGGGTGTTATTCACAGCAATTTGTGTATCTTTTAATGAAAGAGAGTACAAATGTGAATATCACATTCAATGATACTAACAGCACTTCCACGTCCTTCGACGAACTTTTTATACTATCTATGATGAAAAAATTTATGTCACTATTCTCTACTAACGTAATGAAACTTCTCAAAAGAAATTTTTATTTGGAACGAGTTATTTACATAGTTGTGTTTGCAAACTGGCAAAAAAAGTTATCATACAAATATGGATTCATGACTTACGGCTGCTTCCGTATTGTTTGCTTATCAGAGAAGCTATTTTTTTCTTTATCTACGTTTCTATTAAAATGTTCTCTATTTGATTTTGGTTAAATAGCTGTGTCATTTTTTTCCTTTCTTTGTAAAGTAAACATTATGTGTTGGGAAAACATAGGAGATGTACATAGCAATACACTTGAAAACTTTGCATACGTCCTCACTGCATGCTCTCTCGTAAATATTAGAGATCGACAATACTAGTTATGTACCGCTCCAAATCCACCCCTGATTTAATAATCCCACACCCACACCCACCCTCAAGAGAAAGGTGAAAGAATACTTTCCATATAGTATAGTGGCTAAGTGCGTCTACATGCTACTCAATTATTCACTGATTCAACTGTTCGAGTATTTCACTTTTCACATATTTATCGAAGTATTCGATTATCTAACTTTTGGATTTTTCTATTGATCACATTACTTAATGTGGTGAAGTAGATTATTTCATTTATACTGACCCTAAGTTATATGAAGATGAGACTGTTTTGCTCGCCCATACTATTACGACTAGTTGAAAACTCTACTGATTCGATAAGTACTCGAATTCATCTTCGGTCTTTATATCTATCCACCGAAAGACAAAAAAGTAACACCGCACTTACTGTTTACTACTGAGTTATGAAATAATTTCTTTCTCTTCGTACGAGAGTGACAATAATTTCTTTTCAAAAAGAAAATATAATAATGAGAGTAAAAAATATTCATTCTGATATTGAGATTGTAAGGACGATGATAGACAGCTTTTTTCCGGGGAAGAGTCTGAGGAAGAGAATGAATAAGTTTTTTTCTCTAAAAAAATGTAACAGATATGTCCATGACGGCGCTATCGCGGTGGCGGCGCGGCAGCGGCACATTCTCAACCGCGACGGACAGCTCTGAAATATTACAATGAGAACAAAAAATATTCCTTCCGATATTGAGAATATAAAAACGATGGGAGACAAGTTTTGTTTTGCGTGAAAGACTGAAACAAAAGAAATACATTTTTTTCACGAAGGAGAGTATAAGAATGAGAGTAAGAAAAACACGTCTGCCTATGAGAATGTAGGAATGATGATAGAAAAGTTCCTTTTTCGGGAAAGAGTCAGTGAGGATGGGAATAGATAAGTTTTTTTTCTGGAAAGAAATTGCAGAAATGAGTCTAGAAAAATTGTTCCAACAAGAAGAATATAATTATGATGATAGACAGGTTTTTTCCGGCAAAAAAGTGTAACAACACAAACAAAAAAAGTTTTTCCGGAAGGTAGAATTTAAGAATGATAGTAAGTTTTGTTCGCGGAAAATCCCTGCATGTTTTGCTCACTTTCTGCAACCAAAAACAAAATGAATCTGTGCAGGATCTTTGTCAAATTTTGACTTTCTCATTAAAAGTTGGATAGGAAAAAGTTCAATTTGCTTGATTTATCGTGCCATTCTTCTATGGCAAGTGAACCACTTTTTTTCGCGTAAATGTTCGTTCCTTCTTATGGTGCTACTATATTCAGGTAGATCTCAAAAAAACTATGGAAGGAAGGCAGAAAGTAGATTAGATCACGGCAAAGCAAGAACTGCAGTGTGATCAGCTAGTTTTTATTATATAAAATTTGTCGTAGATATTAGAGATTGACAATACTAGTTATGTATCGCTCCAAACCCACCCCTGATTTAATAATCCCACACCCGCATTTAAATTGTATATTGTGTGATGATTTTGCAGATTTCGCTTCTATCTATTTAGATGACGGAACTATTGATTGAACGAGAACCTAACAATAGACCGAACGGTCTTCATCAAAATAAAATTTGCTTTGCAATCATATTTGTTACTATTGCTGTTATAGTAACATTACTATCTTTCAAAAGTTCTTACAATTCATATTTACCATTTTTACCAAAAGCAAGAATAGATAATAACAAGACGATCATATCCTGTTCGCAAAAAGATTATATAATCAAGAATGAAATCGCAATACCGTATTTTTCGCAAGATGTAGGACAGTACTTCTCTAAATTTCAATGCACTGGATCAGAAAATAATATTGAAGAATGGGAAGAACGTCTTTGTATTTTTTACAATACATGTTATAATGTTGATACCGGTCGTTTTCATTATTTTCGAACAACTCAAAGAAAACCAAAGCCTATTTTTTATGATTCAAAAAGAAGAATGATATATGAATTTGGTAACAAAGATGGCATTAACAATTTCGTATCACTTGCATCGCGCGGAAGCGCACCATGGTCACCAATTAGTGTTAATGAACCATATCCATCGAAAAATTTTACAAGACTTCATGATTTACATAATCTTATGCAAAGTACTTTTGCATCTGATAATATAGCACATGGACTATGGGAAGATCTCGGTTCAATTTCATATTCGCTGGATCGAATGAGTATCACTGATCCGAATTTAGTTATCATGCATTTAAATAATATTCCGAAGACGCCCTTATTCAAGACATATCATCAATATGTTATACCTGCCTTAACAAAAAATCCTATGGTAGAATTCGGAACTTATGTTAAATCTTTTCATACAAAACATGTATGTTTCGATCGTTTAATAGTGGGAGGTCAATTGAGTGTTTTTCCAAAACCTAGAATAAAAGAAAATCATGGACGTGAAGCCCTTTTCTATAATTGGAGATCAAAAATTATCAAATATAATGGATTTGATCCTAATTTTGTTCCAAAAAATCATCATATTATTATAACTAATAAATCGGTTTCAGTATGGACACGTCCGAATAGCAAACTGCATCGTGCAATCGTCAATTTAGAAGAAGTTGAAAAGTTTATTAAATTAAGCTATCCAACGATATCGGTTGAAGTAGTTGAATGGCATACTATACCATTTAATAAACAAATTGAAAAATTATTAAATACAACTATATTGATAACACCATGTGGTGGTGTGTCATTGATACTACCATTGCTACCAAATGGTGCACATGCAATAGTGATGGATTATTATGCTACTGTAGCAGTTCATGGATTTTCGGTTGGTGAAAGCGGATCGATGGAGGGTGCTTTGTTAAATCACATTGCTCATGTTAGAAAACAATATTATCAAATATATGGAAAACAAGATTATGAATTTGATTTTCCGGGAGCTACTGATGCTCGAGAAGCTTCATCTATTATTGTGAACATGACACGTTTACAATTATTAATTGATAAGGCTTTAGAAGAAATGGAACCTTAAGAAACTAGTTAACAATATGTATTTTGTTTTGTTTAGTATTCTTAATAAAAAAATTAATGTCAATTTCAATTTCTTTTCTTAGAATTGATTATATTGAGAATGTATATTCATGCTACATGTTGACATTAACTGATCATCGTTTTGTTTATTGATGATATTGAAGAAGTTTGATTATCTGTGAAAAATGAGTTTGTTAAAGTATTGATATTAAATGTAGGATGAAGTCCAATATCATTTAGGTTTTGAATATTAGCAGCGCGATATCAAAAAATTTCACTGCTGAACGGTAATAAAGTCTCCGGTACCATCTAAACCACGAATTTCAAGTCGAGCATCTACAGTATCTATGCTATTGTTATAATACGTTTTCATTATGAGATTTTCTAGAATATTTTAAAAGTTATTATAATAAGCATATATTCAGTTTAAGTATGTGATTATTTTAAGAAGAATTGTATTGATCAAGTCACATGCTTGTTTTTCTTATTAATATAAGTTTTGGTAAAATTACTTAAAAATGTGGTATGAATTTGCTCATATGCTTAAATTTGAGAGTAATATACCAAACGAAGAAAGTAATAGTAGCAATGAAAAAAGATGGTTTTGCAAATTTTTCTTTTGTTTGAGAATATAACCATCTTGAGGGTGGGTGTGGGTGTGAATTAAATGGTGATAGAAGTCCACACCCACACCCTCAAGATCTTCGAAAACAATAATAGATCTAAAACAAAGATCATATAATTTTACAATTATAATCTGATACAATATTATATAAAGAAAATAGTACAGAGCGAAAGAATGCATCTATTTCAATACAAATACTTTGTCGCCTGCATGCAACTTTTATTGACTCTGAAAAAATGAATTTTTATAGAAGTTAGATGACGTCTAGAAATGCATAAAGTTTATTTATTTATTTTATTTAGTCTAAAGCAAATCCAGAGCAACGTGATTCTGTTCCTCCACCTGACAACCAACATTCAACACAAATATATAATGGTAATGAATTTTTTGCTGGTGTTGCTGATTCTCCTGTTGAAATTGGTTGAAGTTTTTTACAAAGCATACATTGAAAATTTTGTGAATAATCATTTGTACCATGTTTTTGACAAACACGTGCTTCACGTTTCTCGAGAGGTATTTCAGTTGAACTTGCTGGTGGAATATGTTTCGAACAAATAATACATGGACTTTTTTGTATCATAAATGGATACATTATCAATCTTTTAGCACATGCATTACATGCAAAAGCACGTTGATTATCTATAGTATCAACAGAACCAAGTGTGTTTGTACAGCGAAGACGCTTTAAAAAATCAAAAGAAAATTTTTTTAGAAAATAAATATTTCTTACACGTAAATAATTTTCTCGATCATGTCGAGCAACAATAAATCCTTCTGGTGAATGTAAATATGAAACAAGTTCTTGATACATATGTCCTTGTTCATAATGATACAATACACGAGATGTTGCATAATTTTTCGTTGACGAATATTTACGATAAAATTCAGCCATAAATGCATGAAGAGTACGTATTTCATTTGCATCATCTTTCAAGCAACGTTGTCGCAATAATTTTTCAATGGATGAATCACGAAAAATAATATATTGACTTCCTGTGATCCAAGTTGTATCGAGAAATATTTTTACATGTCTTCGTAATATTGCCCATATCATTTGGTTTACATCTATAGTTCTATTCAAATAATGTTGAAGTATATTAACCATATCTGATTCTATTAAACCAATATCGGATATAAGTAATAATTTAAAGAACTAAAAGTTTTTTTTTCCTGTTTTATGTAAAATAAAAGTTTCAATGAAAATTACCGCATCAGTAAGTAGTCGATTGTCAATAATTTCATAAGCTTCATTCAATAGAAAGTTAAGTAAATCATCTAAGGTCGATGGATAAGTTTTGAGACGTTTGGTAACAAGAGAATAATCACCAAATTGTCGAAGATTTTCACAAACATAAGATAAAAAAATAAAATGTTCACCACCCTTGTTGTCTACAAGTAGTGATTTTTGTTCTGACTCAAGAATCTATATATAAGTGAAAGCAAAATAAATAATTTATTTATTTTTTTGTTTTTAAACTTACTTTATTAAAACTATGAAAAAACATCTCAATATATAAACTACGTTGTTCACTTGTTAATAAGTTAAGTTCTAGTGCATAATGCGAATGATTACGTATTGTTTGATGTAAATTTGAATTTAATTCTGTACTAACTATAATATATGTATGATTACTGAGCAATGAAGAAAGCCAAAGGAACGGAAATTCATCCTCATAATTTCGCGTATGATGCACATCACCCTACAAGAATTTTAGTTTATTTTTTGAAATATATTATTCATCTTGAATTACTTTCTCCAATCCATCGACAATAATAATAATTGGTATTGGTATAGCTGCAATAACATCTTTAAGAGATGTATCATCACTATAGTCAAATTTCTCATTCGTTTTTGGGGATTTTATATCATTATCATCTAGATAGTGAAAAGAACGTTTTTTTTCATTAAAGTTAATTTTCAGTTTTTATTTACTGAGATATTTTAACAGTTTTGATTGTAAATTAGTTAATGTGAAATGACTTCCATATTGATATATTCCCTCAGCAAAATAATAATAGATAATAGCTTTGTCTTTCATTTTTTCCTATAATATTATCAATTTCAAAATAAATTTTAGCAAATTTTCGTTTTTAAGAATTTACTTCCATATCTAAGACAAATTTTGCAAGTAACATTGTTTTTCCATCACCCGGTTGACTTGATAAAGCCATTAGAGGTTGACCATTTGCTTTATCATTGATTAATATGAAATCCTTATGATCACCTGTTATATATTTAAAAAGCGCTGAATATTCATCGGATCGATCAATATAATATTGTGTTTTATTGAGAAGAAATGTATTCATTTCTTTTTCTTCTAGAAACAAAAAAAATGAATTTCTTTTAACATGAATTAGGTAGAAATCGAACCAATGTTAATTGAATTATCTGCATTAAAATTTTCTGGATACCATTTACGAATAGCTTCACTTAAGAAACTTTTTGTTCGTTCTTCAAATTCTTGGAAACCATCAATTTTAACCTAAATTTGTATTTAGGTTAAAATAAAAAATGAATCTAAACTTAATGTATTTTACTCTTTCACGTCCGGTCGATGCATCTAAGCCGTTATAAGAACAATCATAAGAAAATATTTGTTCAGGGGACATAATTTCTGATAATTGACATTTTAATTCTTTTACTTGTTTTTGACTTAATTCATCTTTATCACGAAATTTATCATTATATTTTTCAGGAAGATTTGCCAAAAGATCTTCCGATTTTCGTATAAGAAAAAACGCATTTGGATTATTTCTACGAAATGCACCATGAATAAATTCCATTAATGTTATCGATGCACCATCAATCCAACGATATGTTTCAGTTATATGTTTTGGTAAATCATTTAATTTCGGAACCCAACCATATCTAAATGAAATGAAAAATAAAAACAAATAAATATCGATTTATCTTACTTATCACTAATAAGTCCAATAAAAAATGGTTGACCATTATCTTCTAAACATCGATCGAGTTCTTCAAGACATGCTAATATTGTTTGTTCAGTTGTTGAATCTTTCGGAACCTATTATATGATAAATATTATTAAAAATGATGATGTTTAAAATTATTTTATGATATTTACACCCCATCGAAGATCACAGTCAATTATTTGAATACCGGCTGGTCCCATCTCATCACGTAATGCAGGAAATACTTTTTTAATAAGAACTTCACGTTCATTAAAAAAATCTGTAAATGTTGATGAAACAAAAATTCGTACAACTTTATTTGATGTTCTCTGATTTCCATGTTTATCATATGATTCTAATCTTTCGTTGTTAAGATGTTCACGAAGTTTAATCCAAAAATCTTTTACATCTATAGGTAGTTTCTCACATTCAACATCAACATTATTAGTAGCTGATGATGATGATGAATTTTCTTGTTCTACTGAATGATTTGTTGGTAAAATTCGTGGTAATATTGGAAAACCAGGATGAACTTGAACGGGATATTCTAGTGAAACTATTTGCTGTGAGTTTGATGTGTCTGCCATAACTAGGAAAGAGAAAAAAAATACATCACTCGTATTTTTTTTGTTGTTGCAAGCGGCTGATAAAAAAAAGAAAAAAAACACCTTGGTAACGTGACAATTATTTAACATTGTGTTGCGTTTTTTTTTAAATGTATGGTAATTATAGAAAGAAATATATTGCTTGCTCAGCGTTTATTTTCTTTCTTTTGATAGAAAAGAGTATAATATTCAATACTTGAAGGGTGTGGGTGTGGGTTTGAGTAAGGGTGTCGGTATCTATCTTATATTAACCCACATCCACACCCGGAATCAGACAAGGCAGAAATGAAAGTGCGGTTTGTTTGTCATTTTCATGTCGATCGTTAGGATCTATTAGACTAGACGTTAAACAATATGTTTTTATATTTTGAATGCCATCATTTTTATAGCTTCCCGTGATCCCACCACTTTTTCAAAAGCAACCAGAGGTGTCCACAGGGCAGTGCATAGCTTTTTTATGCCCTGCTATTTTTATTATTTTCAGTGAAAAAATCTAACTATGGATTCGGCATCAATCGATTTTATAGCTGAAATTTATATATGTTCTACTGATAATGAAAAGAAAGAATTTGAACGAATTCATGGTTTTATTAGTTGCACAAAATGTTATCATACATCAGTTTATAGACCTAAAAGTGGAACCAAACGATTTATCGATCATGCAAATCAATGTTCACCATTGGCATCTCAATCTACAACTAGCCCTAATGATCCACAAGCAACGCAAAGCACGTTGGATAAAATCGTTATTAAAAGACAAATCAATATTACGACGAAAGAACAAAATGGGTATGTTCGGTATTTTTCATGTCAATCATTAGGATTTATTAGACTAGATGTTAAGCAAGATGTTTCTATATTTTGAGGGACATCATTTTCCTAGCTCCTCTGACCCCACCAGGTTTTTAATAGCAACAGATCAATTTTTTCCAAGATTTTATGAAACTTTGGATAGTATTTAATATAATGAGTATTTCAATTTTTAAAATCTTGTTCCATCTTTTTTCTTGTTCATCTACACTAGAATAAAGATATATTTGAATGATATTTCCATTCTTTTCATTTC